TTGAATCAATCTGACTGGATGATCTGGTGAACTGGAAAGTGACCTGAGATGACATGATGTGAATTGGAGCTATAGAAATAAACTGAATTGAAAATATGTTGCTGAGGGAAACAGGTAGAGATAGAAAAACAGAACTATCTGTTCAACAGGGAGAGATTTTCTCTGAAAGCAGGAGACTCTTTAGATTAAAGTCAGCACAAAGTCACCGAGGAACCAGAGTCGGACCACCAGAACCCAAACCCAGGATACAGATGTTCAGTGAATTTGGTGTTGAAGGTGTGGAGGTGGATCAGTGAGTTTAAGGAGACTCTGTAGAAGGACAGAATGCCAGCAGGACAGTCCAAATAGACTCCTACTCTGTTAGAGACAGAGGAGGAAGTGGAGGAGGAAGAAATAGACGTTTCTATGTTATTGTGCCAGACAGAATAACCACCTCCATCATCATCATCAGAGCATCTCAGACTCCAGGACTGATTATTCCATCCAAACCTACAGTCATCACTTTCTGCTCTCCTTCTGATTTTTCTGCAACTCACTGATATCTCAATATCTCCTTTCCACTCTACCTCCCAGTAACAGCGACCAGTCAGATCATCCTTACACAGCAGCTTAGGTTTATCAAATCTGTCTGAATGATCATGATCGGACTCATCCTCGTCCTCAACGAGTTCCACCTTCCTGTTGTCTTCAGACAGTTCCAGGCTTCTATTCACTGTCTTTGTGTCAATCCTGAGCTGACGGGAATCTGAAGGAGAGACAAACATAATCCAGCTGCAGTTATTGATCATTCATTGAATCTTTGATAAAGAATCCTGAATGATTGATGGACAGTCTGAAGATGGTTGAATTTCAGCTACTTCGTCGTCATGAATCCAATGAAAAACTAACTTACACTTCCTCAGACCTGGTTTTAACCATCGTTCTCCAGCAGGCTCCACCCTGAAAGGAGGAAGGAGGTCAGATCATCAGTATCTGCCAGCTTGCAGATATGGACATGGGTCTCTGAGACACACACTGAGAAATGAACAAACCAACATTTGGACATGTCTACTTGTTGGAAACATCCACAAATTTTTGATCATTTTCCTTTGAGCCATTCTTAGTGAGGAGAATGTTCCAGATAACAGGGTAATGATCTCTGCCTACTGTCATCTGACCTGGTTGTGGAATTTGCTCTAGCATTATCCTTGATCTGATTAAAACAATAAAAGTCCTTTTTCTGAGTATTAAACCTGCGGTTCAGTGGGTGGAATCAAGGCAGAAAGAGTATATGGGGGAGACTTCTTCCAGAACCTGAGTAAATGTTAAATCATTTTACATTAAAATTCATCTTTGGTTTATGTTAAGGCTGATTAGACATCAATTATCAAAAGAGCATTATTGCAACTGGCCCAGTCTGAGCTCTGGTGTAACTTCTCCTTTTTCTACTGAATGTGCCCAATTTACAGTTACGAGTTAAGGATGTTTTCTTTCTGTACAAATTGTTTGCTTGAAAAATGGATGCCTGAATAAGAGGAGGTAAATGAAAATGTAATCCTATATTTTAAGCGTCTTATATTGATAAAGGTTATTACTGTTAAAGTAGAGAAAATTCAACCCTGTCAATTCAAGAATTTATACATGAAATGAAGGTAAAGGTTTGACTATTTGCTACAGGTCATACTATAGAAGCAAATTGTGTTGCCTTATGTTATTGTGACCTTAAGCTCACAATAATTGATAAAACAGGGTGTTCACAGGCTGGAAGTCACGTACAAGTCTTGGCAAAAACAGGGTCTTTAAGGCCCACTCGCACGCAATCGGGTCACAGGCCAAAAATTTCCAGGAAGTTCTTCAGAGCGTCCAGTCGTGCACATACATCCACACAGTGCAATGTTGAAACTATATAAACGCCCAGATTTGAATGAGAGTTGAGAAAAGCCAGATGTGTTCTGTTGGAATGTTCAGCGCTCGATAAGTGGACAGCATGTCAATTTGATCTTTGAAATAAATGCTTCTTCTCCCGTCCTGGGGCAATCAGATGATCGACTGAAGGTGTCCTGATTTTTGAGATTCTACCAATGAAAGCCACCACAATACAAGGTCAGGATGAGGTGACTAGAAGAATAACATAATCTCATCATATCGGTTGTCTTATGATGAATCAAAATGCAATCATAAAAGGTTGCTGAGAGGTAGACACAGTGAGGAAAGGAATTTAAAACTGTTTGCTGCAGATCAAAGAATCGCAATGTGATTTTTTAAGTTACTTAAAATGAGGATGTTGGGGGAAAGCGGCTTGCACATATCCAGTGACCTAAAGGTCAAGGGTTGTTGGACAAATTATTTGCTGGAAAAGTAGATAACGAAGAAACACAAAAGTTAGATGTAATAGGTAAGTAACACGTAATGCCAAAAGGTAATTTAAAGTTTCAGAGACCAAGGACGTGCTGAGGGGACAATGTTTCCCACCTGACCTTGGAATTCCCCTGGAGGAGCTGGTCCAAATAGCTGGAAATTGGGACCTCTAGGCCTCCCTACTGAAGCTGCTACCCCCGTGACCCAACCCTGGATAAGTGGACCAGGGTGGATGAATGGATTTGCTTTTGCTTTAATATTGCTGCCATCCTCTACCAGAGAGCTTGCTAATAAAATGCATGCTACACTTTAGCGTGAAGTGTGAACAATGCACTTACTGAGTCATCTAAAATTTGACGGGTTTTCCGCTGGAAAAAAGGACAGGTCTGAGTGTGGTTCTAATTCTATTTTCGAGGACTTTTAAGGTTGACTATAGCCAAACCTATTGATACATCAACCTTGGGACACATTTTAATCACTTAAACCTATTGACCATTGCAGGGGTGTCTCAAGCTTTTCTACACTTTGGGGATGTGGTCTGTCAAAGGTTGTTCCAGAGTCAGTTAAATTTCATAAACAGCATTTCATACATACATGCTTTAAAATGAAAAAAACAAAACAAAAAATAAGCCAATTTTTTGTCAAATGGACTGAATCTTAGAGAAGACAATTCTCCTCTTCCTCCTATCAAACCTTCTGCAGCAGGTTCCTCCATACCTGAGATCTTCTAGGCTCCATTCTTGATCCTTTAGTCCTGCCGACAGCAGCTTCCTTGTTCCTCCTCCTGGATTATTGTAGCTCAGGTCCAACTCTTTCAGATAGGAGGGGTTGGAGCTTAGAGCTGAGGCCAGAGAAGCACAGCCTTCCTCTGAGATCAGACAGCCTGACAACCTACAGGAACACAATTTAACAAATGAGAACACGTGAAAGTTGAGGAAGTATCAAAGTTCTGAAATTAACGTTTTCAGAAAGAAAATAGACTGCAGCTTAACTTGTTAAAGTAACACTGAGTGAGTTTTATCCCCCAGAGGTGCTAGACCTATAATCTTCCACGTTTATCTCCCCTGAAAATGACTATAAAACAATGCACAGTCGCTAAATAATCCAGGGTCCCTCTGTGTTCTTCTTCTGATAGCAAACTATTTTGGACCAACAAATTGAGTAGTCACGAAGTGCCTGGTTAAGAAAAGTAAAATTTATCCCTACAGATTAATTCCTACGTCAGAGAACCAAAAATATGTCCATCAGGCAAGGGCTAGATCTGCTTGGTTGCCCAACAAATCTTTCTAGGTTTAGCCATGATGGTTCAGTTCAGCTCAGACTGCTGAAAAGTGGTGTTCTGGATCACATGACCTATTAAAAGGACCGTATGACCATCGCAAATAACAAAGATGGGTTTTCGAGCATCAATAGTTATTACATGCATTAGCATTGACCCACAAATATTTAATATATTTCAAGTTAAGCCAATACTTACAAAGGGTCAACACCTACACAGTGCTGCCTGAAATAAATTACATAATTACAAAAAAGTGTTTATTTAGTTTTTTAGGAAACATAAATGTACATTTGGCAGATTTAAACAGATGGATCCTGACCAGAGCTCCATTTGGATGGAAACTGCAAACCGGCAGAAACTTTGCAGAAGGGGCTGACTTTTTAGTTTTATGCAAATTGGACTTAAGATAGATTTGTGGTCCCAGTAGAATCATGTTTCAGGTGTTTAGAGAGGTTTAATTTCACAAATGGAGGCAATGGATGAAGCTGAGATGAGGAATAAAGCAGCGTTTTGGATTCATGGGGAATAAAGTTCAACAAAAACAAACAAAAAAAAGGATTTTGAAATAACATTTAATGTATTGCTGATAGCAGCTAATGGACAGAAATCTGGTTTCAACTAGGGGTGTAAATCACATCCATCATGGCGATTCAATTCAGTATCGATTTCCTGACCCAACGATTCGATTATTTTCGATACTCAAGAATACGACACGATTCGATTTGATTCAATTCGATTAATCGATTAATCGGTTAATTTATTTATTTATTTTTTTTACACCTTACAGGCTAAACAAAGTTTCAAGTTTGAAATAAATCAATGAAAGCTGTAATATCGTTATACATTCTTTTTTAGAAACAACAGCAAATAACAGAAGTAGAAAAGTTGCATAAAAAATACTGCAAAAATACTGCAGAAAATCAGTGCAATGAGTTCAATGCATTACCTCGGCTTCAGACGTCCCGCCCCCTTGAGAGACGCTCCGCTGCACCTCTC